TGCTGACATATATTACTACACAAGTAACAGAAAAGGAGTAAGTCCCTTTTTTGATAACATTTACTTAATATCAGTCACGTAAGAATGCTCATTAGTCTTCTATAAACTGTGAATTAATGGTTTCTTGCATTCTTTCTGCTAAACATCAGAGAATCCACACAAGGGGTGAGTCAAGCAGCGTTCCTCTCACTGGAAAAGTAAACCGCATCTATCCCCTCTACCTGTCTGCCCATTTTAATGAAAACCAGACAAAACTTTACACCTTCAAGATTCCTGCATTTAAGTCAAACACATTACAGAGATACACCCAGCACAATAAAAAAAAATCCCACTGCCTTAGAAGCTAGACTTAGTTGATTGCTGTCTGCTGACCTATCAAGGGAAGCAGAGTCACAAGTTGGAACATGCACCTTACTTGTTTTACATTAAAAACTAACTTTACCAAGACAACAGAGAAAAAGAAAGAATAGCTTAGGTTTTAAAGCCACAATGTACCCACATGAACATTCCTGAGACTTAAAGCACCCTTTTGCTGTGGAATTGAGTTCCCAGAAGTGGTCTACATCAAATATCCAAAGAAAATGAAAAGAGCCAAAAAACATCCTAAAAAATATGTTGAATGAATGAAGTGGGTCCAATGCAGTGCCTCAGTACTCAGAGACATGATAATATATGCATGGAATGTGAGCTCTGACTCTGACTTGCCTGGCTTTACTTAGTCTAATTTAAACTGCTCATTTAAATATTTAATTATTTTTGTTTATGCATAAACTATAGACAGATAAGGTTTATAAGCCTGAAGTTTGAGAAATTCTTCCTTTTTTTTGTTGACAAGTTAGAGAAACTCATAGCCATCAGTCCTTCCTAGCAGTACACTTACACATTTTTCAGCAGCCAAAGACAGATAAGCTGTGGACTACTGTTCTCAGGAAGAAAAAAACCCCACAAACAGTAAAAAAATGACCTGAGTCTAATCATAACCAAACCTACTCTCTGCAATAACATGTGAGGAAAAGAGAGAGATTGCCCTCTAGTGCTTAGTCACCAGAGAACAGCATAAATGCTGTGAAAGATTTTCTTAAGCTCTCGTGTAAAGGACCAGCAGAGCTGAATGATAAGTGGTCTTGGCTGCATGAACACACTCATGGCAGTAAGAAATTCGTACATGAAAGGCACTTTAATGACAAACACAGAGATTTGATGTGGCTTCTTCCCCCCATATTTACTGACTTTGTTGGGCTGGTTTGGATTTAACATTATATATCACAGACACTATGATTTATTGAGATCTAAATTACACATGCTTACTTTCAGGAGACTGCTGAAAACACAGCCTTTCCTAAATGACGGAGAAATCATTAATAGACTATAGTTAAGTAACTTCTGCAAACTCTGTCAGAGCTCTGTAACCTACTGTCAATATAAGTAATGTTGGTGACAGCAGGTATTGCATGTTTTGGTCATTACTGAAACTACAAATTACCCTATTATTATTGTGCGTTATTATGCAATGCATTACCTGCATGCGTTGAAAACAGATTAAGACTGCCTAAATGACAAAACCCCCATCCCATAAAGTTTCTTTAGCTTCAGGAGTGAACAGGTTACTACTAAGCTATCAAATGGAAAATGCATTTTTCTGCAGCCCAAAAGCTTTCCTAATATTTCTCCTTCATGCATCTGGGCCTCAATATAGTACACAACTATTTATCAGGGGGGAGGGAAGCAGCAAAGCTCTCTAACAAGTCTCCTCCCTTCCTTCCCCTCCTGTATCCTAAACGGATGTGCTGGACCACAAGTCCACTGTAGCCAGTCTTCTACTCTGCCTCTCCAAATATAAAATTAAAGCTCACACATGCTTTTGGTTTTGACTAGTTTTATGAGCTTATCATACAGGCTGACATAACATGCTTTTACTTCAAGAATTTCATCGATTAAACACCTAAGACTTTTTGAATTTGCAAACAAAAACACTAGTTTTAAGGCACCATGATTAATTCTTTAGTAGACTTAACCTGAAGGTAAATAAGTTACTGTTATATTAGCACGAATACAATGCATGGTTCAGAAGTATGCATGCAGACCGATGGGGACAAGGTAGCACAGCAGTACTGGGTGCTAACCTTCTATATTCTTTAGCAGCAATTCAAGTTAGTACCAGCCAGCTCTAAGCCACAAGACAACTATGATTTTAGTCACAGTTATACGATTTTTACATACATACACCAATTAGCCATGTCTGTAAAATCAGCTGCTCCCACTACAGTAGCTCATGGCTTAATATACTCAAATTTTTCTTTTTAAACAGACTGACATTTCTCACAGAAAAATCCTTAAAAATAAAGAATTAGCAAGCATTTTAGTAAGAAAAGCAGTATTCTGTTTTTTTCTTTCATTCTTTTATAAAGCAAGGTCTTTTGGAGCCACAGTTACAGGAGATTTTAAGAAGTTTCATGATACAGCATAATAAAATCATCAAGAGATAAATCAGAATAGGAATAAGTTTAGCAGTTATAAATTTCCAAACTGAACACAACGTCTCCTTACAATAAAACCTCTCATTTAATTTCCCATTGAACACAATGGGACGCATTGTGAAGTGTGAGTGCAGTTTGTTCAGGCTTCTAATAGGTGAAAAGAAGTGTCTGACCCTGTTTCTTTCAATGCTGTATGTGCCCTCACCTGTAAATCAGCAGCGTTCAGGAACTCAGAAAAGCAGAATACAGAATGTGATCCTGACAGATGTATCAGAAACAGTCACTACAAGTAGGAGAAAAAAGTTTGGCAGCCCTAGGGAACTTGGGAGAGCTGTTTTTCAGGTTGCAGGGCAGAGTGTTCTGCTGGTTCATCCACCTGGACTAAAGGCTGCCCACCATGGCCTCCTTCCCAGGGTCAGACTTGGAGCAGGAGCATGCCCCATGAAAGCCACCCTTCTGCATCTCCCACTGCTCTTCAGCCCTCTTCTCCATCACGTAAAGGAAGCACTGCCTTTCTCATGACACAGCACAGGACAAGATTCCTCCCTCTCACCCCAAGTAAAACAGGAATAAACTGCAGCCAGAACCACTCATCCTATGCAAAACATGTTCCCTGACTACTTTTAAGCTACTCTTAAAAACAAGTCGGTCAAAAGCAGGCTATGTTAGTCCTTCCTTGTGGTACCTTTCAGCAGGTAGAAGGACCTACCTACAGGAAAGTCTAATTCAGTAGGTCTGAACACAGTATACACACAAAATTTTTTGAAAGGACTGACAGCTCAACACATTTGTTGAGATCAGGTCATACAGCAGGAAAGGACTGCGGCATACATTCATCCCTATCAAAGTAAATTACATAAAATTTGTGACTGAACAGTAGGCAACTCTGATCTCACTGAAGACTGATGAAACAGCATCTAAAATATGCATATTGTCTTTTCTGTTGCAATCATACATGAAACCCAATAACAAATCTTTCAAAAAAATCATTAATAAAAAAAGGATAACAGAAAAAATAATCTAAAAGAAAAAAAAAATCAGAAGGCTAAATTTTTTTGCAAATCATCTGCTGCTTAAGTTAAAAAAGAAAGCCCCCAGCTGACCAGAAAGGAAAACTGTAATAGGGAGAATAGACCTTGTAGAAGAGTAACATTAAGGCACAAAAATATCAAAAGGCCCGTATTGCGTCCTGCAAAAGAATACAGTAGAAGCAGTTCTCACAACACAGATATAGTAGGAAACCTCATCTTTGGTCCACTACAAACATGCATGCTAATGCCACGGTTACCTACCAGTCTGGTACTGCATGCCAATCAGTGAATATTCCACCTGTACATTGAGCACCACATTCTATGAGATGACCTGCAAGGCTGGGAAAATGGCATTCAAATAACTAAATATTCTGTAAAATCAAGTTTCACAAATCCAGCTTTAAAACATAATAGTACAATGGAAATAAAGCTAAATAACAGAATATGATATTTTTTCCTGCATAGGCATCCAATACATTTATAAATTATGCATTAAACATAACAAGAGATTGAGAGATGAATATAAGAAGAGTTGAAAGGAGTAATTTTTACATGAAGAATAAAACTAATTTCCTGAAAAAAATTAATACCTAAAAGATTATCTGACACCAAAAAACAAGTTTCATTGATCATTTCAAGAACTATTGATCTAAATTTCATATTTTAGCAGTCTGCACTAAATATGCAACGCCCATTTTTAAATCAAGATATACAAGGTCTCACATTCTGTCCTTCACATTCGAAGTACTATGATTATGAATTATGATTTTTCAAATCTTTGATTGTGATAGTCCATAAACATTCAACATAGAACTAAGGGGAAAATCTTCATCTCTCTCTTTTAGTCTCAGTTCAGTGGAGGCAGAGTCTCTCTCAGCAGCAGGAGGTCCAAGCACACTACTACTAGGTGTACTCGGGTTACCAAAGTAGTGACTCATTTTTGTGGACTTCACCACAGCCAGATGATGCAGAAAGTTAAATTAGGTGACAGAATTTTACCCTATGCTTTCTGCATCGGATTCCTAACCTTAGGACTTACAACTAGGGTTTGCAAATGGGAGTACTGACACTGAGCGTCTGCAAAGCCATACAAGGATGCTGACCTCTGACTGAATCTCCTTTTGTGCATCTCTGAGGACCATCTCAACTATCAATAGTGATCGTCAAACAGAAAAGGCCAGGAATCACTGGTCTGCACTGTAAGATTTCCTGTCCATTTTGTGTCGAGATGAAAAGAAAGTTAAGCTATTTAAATAAAATCATTCACTCCTTTCCTCATTTTGTTATTTTAAGTTGGTTCCAGAATGAAATTTCTATAATTTCAGTTCCAAATGAGAGAGTATTGTGAGCCTTAAAAAAACCCAAACCTAACAAAAAAATTCAAATAAATTAAGTCAATAAAAATAAGCAAAATCACTAAGTGCTTAAAAAGTTATCCTGACATTATATGATATGAAATACAAATTTACCCATTTCTTCTTATTTTATTTACCTTCCTGCAGCTAGCAAGTCAAATTCATCCCTACTCCAGCCAAACTAGAAGAAAAACACAAATATGTTATATATATAAAAGTATCATACAGTAAACTGCATAGTATGTTCTCTGCTTCGAGTAATAATGCATTGGATGTATTTTTACTTAACCACAGAAATCTGAAGAACAATAATTGGCAGACACTGTACATGGGTTTGAGTTGCTGTACAGTAGATTGGTAAAAGAGCTCTGATGTATTTCTATTTTCCTCTTATTAATACATCCCAACAAATACAAGTTGTCAAAGTCACACCCTCTTCAGAAAAATCAGAAGTACAATATTGGCATTATTCAAAATTTGCATAACCCAGAGGTTTAGAAGTCTAGCACCTATTCTGTGTCACAAACAAACCACTACATTTTTTTCAACTTTTGAAAATTATTGGTTCCTGGAGTACTACCAGTCATCCTTAAAAACTGGAAGTATGTTTCCTGTTTAACTAGAAATTATTTTTCCCAAGTTCAACACAGTGCAAGCAATATATTCATGTTTCTTATTTAGAACTTAGCAGAAATCTCCCTAAAACCTTTCAATGAATTAGATAAGGCCTCTCTGGAGTAAATAATATACACTGATAGCTATTTTGAGAATGTAAACTCCTAAAGCTAGGAATAAACTAACAAGTCATAATGGCAATTACAAATGGGAAGGTTTACTTCTAGATAAGGCAATGTTTGACATGCACGAAGTCAGAAAAGCATGAGGTTTTAGAAAGGATGTTTGTAACTAGACACTAACACGTACCCTCTTTTTTTTAAATATGCACCAAAAGAAAGCTTCCATGTTTCACAGTGTGTGGTCATACACAACAATGTATAATCTATTCAACATACTTCAGAAAGCCACGTATCCTGCTTGTATAACTTGTTGAAATTCAAGGAATTTGGGAAATGTTGCACTGAAACTCAACTACTTAAAAAAGATCTGCTTACCCATTGAAAAAGACCAGTGTTTTAGACCACCTCATGTGCCTCCTCCCTCCCCTCCCCTCCCCGCCAAAAAACAAAGTGAGCTCTACTATCACCACCTTGTGGTAAAGAAAAATATACTTGTTTCTTAACCTTAAGCACCAAATTTATTTTTTTGGAGGGGTGGGGGGGTAGGAAGTAAGAGCAAAATACTGGTGGAACATGGCAAGACTTCCTTAACTTCACCGAAATGCTTTCCAGCTTCATGATACACAAGTTCATGAACATCACCGCTGTAAGTTTAGGAGAAGTGAAAGCTGGCAACTTTTCATGCATGTGAGGAAAAACCCCAAAATTTACGGTACACATTATTTTTAATTTAGTACCTACATTTTCATAAGAAGCAAAAATGTGTCTTACAATGATTGCTGAATATTCATTCACACATGTTCATTATCACATGGAAATTAACTTGTACTTACAGAATGAATGAGCGGTCCTAATACAATCCCACTGTCAACGCATCTACCCGTCACAACAATATCAGCTCCAAGGTCAAGGGCCCTGCTTATTGGCCTTGCGCTAAAGATGACAAAATACAATACTTTTTAAAGCATCATTTAAAAAAGTCAGTTTCCTGCCATACACAGGATAAAAACCACTTAAAAATCCTGTAGGAAATAAGTGAAATCAACTTTAACAACCGATTTGTCATTTTGTATATACAAGAAGAACATTTTAAAGAGCAATCATCAGAACACTCCATCAAATTCAGGTATGTAAATGACATAATTGAAACACTTGTCTTGATGCTCATAGAAACTGCCTTGGATGTAGTACACAGAGAGTCATTTCCATTACCAGTAACAGAAAACAGCGTTCTTCAGAGATTCTTATTTCATTTGTAGATGAGTGTAAAAAGACCAATGTTCTTCAGAGAAATTTTAAATTTTAAACCTTTCAGGTCAATTTACTTAAGTGTTTTTAGAATTTGCAACATCAACCAACTTCAAAAAACAATGGCTGCACAGTGCTCTTCTTGCAGAAACTTGGGCAACAGATTTTCCAGATCGGTCAGGTGAGAGTTGTCGCAGTCAAAATTAGTCAGGCTTGAGAATACGCACCCAGGTGAACCGCTCGAGTTTATACATTTTAGTGAGCAAGCTTTGACCAAAATGTGGGACTCCTGGCTTCTAAACCCATACTATCTGCTGGATCCTTCTATTCTTCATGAAACAGGCAGCTTGAAAACACAAACCACATAAACTGTGTGCCTCAAAGAACAAAACCAAGAGCAGTGTTTTTCTACAGTTTCTAGAGACTTAGCCCTCTTTTTGTCAAGAGATAAGTTAGAAGACACAGAAGTTGTCTTAGTGATGTAAACACAACATATGAGTTTTTTCCCCAGTGCTACATGAACCAAAGGATACTAGCTAGAAAAACAAGCAAATATACAGCATACAGAAACAATTTGTACCTCTGGGCATAGTGTTAAGTAACAGTCACAGGTAAAAAGCACAAATGGGGTTTCTGCATACATACATATAGGATACTGATAGAAAAACTGTGTAACTATCTTTAAAATAGAGTAAATAAAGCCATTTGACTCTTACTGTTAAAAATGCATGTGAACTCAGTCCACAGAACTCCTAATAGCCCAAATCAGGAGGGTCAGAAGAAACACTTCAGGATTGATACCCCAATGCAAATTTTTCAGATGGGAGTTCACACACTTGAATCAAGAATCGAACTGTAAATATCATCAGATTTAGGGAATTAACTATCTACAGAACTTACAGATTTTACTTAATACACTCTGATGTTGACTTGTTTTACAGGTATATATAAGTTTATCATTTGCTTTACGAATAAGCATCAACTGCTGATGCTGTCAAAGAAAAATGTAAGTTATGAAATTACTAATTTAAGAGGCTGGTAATAGCTTTAGATTTCAATGCAACTGAGATTAAGGGGCCCATAAAGAAATATAGCCCTTATTAGAAAACCAAGACTCTGCTGTTCTAGCATCTGTTAACAAAGCAGAGACAGAGGTAATAGATTTTAAAATGCCTCGTCCTCATACTAGCCTGCTTTTGTCCTGTCTGCTTTGATCTGTATTGCTTTAATTCATAAATAAATCATGAACCACCAGAACTGCAATGAACACTTTCTCACCATTACAAATATTAAACCTTATTTCTTAGATTTCATTTACAGTTACTCATAATCTGCAAATGTTGCAATTCAAAGTTTAATGAATAGAAAATCCAGCAACAACAGGTAACACTAAAGACCAATTTAAAAAGATTCATCTATTAAAAGGTTCTTATTTTACAGATACAAATACATGCTGTGTTAGCAGGGTATGGCTGTACCTATCTGCCAGTGATGCATTTTTGGAAAGTGCAGTCATGCTAAAAGACAGAGCACAGCAGTTTTACCATAAAGATTAATGTAAAAGAGAGAGGACTGTGTGCACAGACTTCAGAAATACACCGAACAGAAATACAGGAGGGATGGATATGACGTGGGTGACAGAAAAGCAAAAACTGGATCACCAGGACCATAAACTGGAAGAGATGCTGGCTTTTGGAAACACCTGACCATTGTCCCATTTCTCAGACCCTCCTCTTTGATAAACTTCACTGACATTGATTCATCTGAAGTTGATGGTGACAATGAAAATGTGACTGTTCACAAACATGTAGCTAGAACACCTGCATTTAGAGATTTATGGGAGGCCTTCAGTATCATAAAAGCAGCAGGGGAGATCCTTCAAAACACTCATCCACCCTGGAAAGCCAGCTTCCAAAATTTCAAGGGTACAAAGCCTGACACACAATAGAATCTCCTACAGCAGACAGAGTGTGTTTTAATTTTTAATTAAAGTTAATTCCTCAGTTGCACTTCTCTAGTGATAACATCCTAAACAACTGCTCCATGCAGTAACGAGATACTCTGCATAAGAAAAAGGACTTCTGTGATTGTTATAATTAAACTATTTTGGCTTGAACTAAAACCTGAGGATTCACAGGAGATGTAATGCTAAGAAGTCACAACTGGCAAGGTTCTAAATTAAAAGTTTATTTACAAGTTACAAACAATTTTTTTTCTGGTTTCCTGAATAATGCAAAGGTGGTTTTTTTTTATATATA